AACCAGCATCGTAGAAATCTTTAGCAGAAAAGCCTGCATCTTTGCACATCTCGGCTGAATAGCCTGCATCTTTACATTCCTTTGCTGTGAAACCTGCATCGCTACATTGCCTTGCTGAAAAGCCGTCTTCTTTGAACTCTTCTGCACTGAAGCCGGCTTCCTTACAACTTCTGGATGGGAACGTTGAGGATATGCATTCCTTTGGTGTGAAGCCCGCACTTCTGTAATCGCTAGCAGTCAAGTCAAGTTCCCAACCTTCTAGAGAGAAACCTGCTCTTTTGACCTCGTTCTTCTCAAAGCACACCATCCTGCATTGAATGGTTGAAAACCCAGCATCCTTGAAATCTTTAGCAGAAAAGCCAGCATCTTTGCACGACTTGGCTGAATAGCCTGCATCTTTGCATTCTTTTGCTGTGAAGCCAGCATCTTTGCATGCTTTTGCTGTGAAGCACCCAAGCTTCTTGCATTGAAGAGCTGTGAAGCCCTCACTTCTGTAATCGCTAGCAGTCAAATCAAGTTCCCAACCTTCTAGAGAGAAGCGTGCCTCATAGACCACGGCCTTCTCAAAGCCCAGTATCCTGCATTGAATGGTTGAAAAACCAGCATCGTAGAAATCTTTAGCAGAAAAGCCTGCATCTTTGCACCTCTCGGCTGAATAGCCTGCATCTTTACATTCCTTTGCTGTGAAACCTGCATCGCTACATTGCCTTGCTGAAAAACCGTCTTCTTGTAACTCTTTTGCACTGAAGCCGGCTTCGGCTAACAAAAAGCCGGCCTCTTCGCATTCTTTTGCAGTGAACCCTGCATCTTTGCATTCTTTTGCTGTGAAACCAGCATCTTTGCATTTTTTTGCTGTGAAGCACCCAAACTTCTTGCACTGAAGAGCTGTGAAGCCAACTACTCTACAATCTCCTCTCATGTATCCGGCTTTGGACAACTTTTCTGCCATCTCTCCGGAAGCGTCCTTCTCCAAATAACTGGCAGCAACATGGTTTTCGAACTCCTCAAGCGTCTCTGGCTTGCGTTCAAGTTCCTGCAGCCATGTCTGTTGCAGTTCTCGTATTGGTTGGAAAAGGTCAGCATCTGAAACATTGAGACCCTTCAATAAGTTCACAGAAGGCTCCTTGAGAAGACCTTGCAACTCTTTCGGCAAACTTCCACGTGTGAGCACCTGAGAACTCTGATCAAGGTTCAGTCGTTTCACACAGGCTTTCAGTCCCTGGGAAGAGACGAGGGCCTCTAGTTTTTCCTGGACTGCGAGCTTACGCTGCTCAAACATGGCACGTTGGAGAACAGGAATCAGGAATCCTTTGGAGAAGCTGATGGCAGCAGAAATGCCCGCAAATCCAATTCCTTCAGCGTTCTTCAATACGATCACCAATCCCAAGATCCCTTGGGGCCAATCTTCTGCCCATGCGATTAGCAATCGAGAACTGCTGAGGAAGTCGACGCAAACATTGGAAAGTTGTCTTTGAAGCCACTCCCACCAAGTTTCACCTGCAATGCTGAGCGGCTTTAAAGGCAACTCCAAAATGGCCTTGTATGTCTTGCGAAGATCTTTTGCACATTCTTCGTGATAGTTGACCTGGATGTAGGAGGCAACGATGACATACATGGAGAAAACAGCCAAGATCCCACCATCCAGCAGCAATGGCGTCGATATCTTGGAAAGGACAAGACACCATGGCAGCATCAACATGCATGAGTAGAGGTGGCGGTTTTCACGGATGCTGTCAGGCAGGCAAGGCAACGCAGGGAACAGAACCCAAAGATGGACGCCTAGGAAGAGCGGAGCAAAATAGATCGCCTGAGGGCTTAATGAGTTCAGAGCGAAACTTGGCCGAACAAAACAACGGTGACTTTAGCCAGGTTCACAAGTGTCCGTATTCAAAAAGTTTGAACATAGTGAGACGACAGCGGATGACCGGGACACCCACTCGAGCACCAAGGGCACAAATCGAGAAGTGTAACTTTTTCTAACATTCAGGCACAAGCCGAGAAAAGCATCGCGCTTCGCATGGTAGCGGAGCGTTGCCGCATCCGCATAGAGCCCGCTACATTGCCCACGCCATAGGCACCACTCGTTGCAGCAGACCGCGGACTTCACGTGGGGCGCAACCCATTTCTTTCTGGCTGGTCGAGCTCCTCTTCCTGAGTTGTCTTGCTGGAGGAGCTGGTGACCCTTGGACACAGGAGATTTGCCACTATCAACCACCAAGAGTTGTAGCCCAACACAGCAGGTGCGAAGGTACAGTGGGCAAGAAGCACCACAGCCATGAGGGCATCACTGTTGGTGCGAAAGAAGCTCAAGAAGAATAAGAAAAGATCCAGGGAGAGAAAGCAGCTGGTTGCGATCGTCCCAGCCAAGTGGACGCTATTGAAGAGAGTGGAAAGATTGAGGGACACAGCAAACAAGGCCAATTGGGACTTCAAGAAGCTTTTGAGCTACACAAACCTCGAGATCAAGGAGGAGCAGGACAACGAGCTCAGTTTGACCACCAGGACGTATTACCCCAGTGTGGCCTACATTCATGAGGAGAGCTTGAAGCAGATCTCTCAAGCCCTTGAGAAGTTGAGTGTCATCCAAACTTCAAACTCTTGGGCCAGACACCTGGAGACTCTGGATATCTTCAAACCAAACACAACGGACAAGGAATTGAAGCAATGGAGCGATTGGAAATTTTCCTATGAGAACTATGTCAAGGGGATCGATGCAGGTATGGCCCACAGCATGAAGCTGGTTGAGGAGAACCTGATGGCAGCTATGAGCTTGACGAGATGACCGATGAGACCAAAGCTGCATCCATACGCCTCTACAGCCTGCTGATTGAGGAACCCTTGAAACTGGTGCGCCACATGAAGCAGGAGAATGGGATTGAAGCCTGGCAGCGGCCACCGACTCGGCGCTGAGCTGTCGCGGGTCCAAGGCAAGTCCATTTCAAAGCAATTGCCCTTGTATGAGTCCATTGTGACTGCGCATGAGCAGATTTCTGGACACACCTATGCTGATGACAACAAGGTGGCATCCATATTGCAGGCAGTCCCAGCGCATCTTCGCTCACATCTTCAGCTATGGAGCGCAAATACCACGACCTATGAGCAGCTGAAGGAAAAGGCGACGGAGCTGGAGGCACTTGCGACAAAGTGGGATAGCTCAAATTCCTTGAGCTTGCCCACACGGATGTCAATGGACGAAGCCACTCCTATGGAAGTTGACAATGTACGAGACAAATGGAAGAAGGGTGGCAACAGCAAATCCAAAGACAGCAAAGGCCAAGCGAAAGGAAAGGAGAAGGGCAAATCGAAGACCGATGGAGGAAGAGGGTCGTGGAAGACAAGTGAAAAAGGTAAAAGCCAGTGGGAGAAAGGTGGACAAGGCAAGAAGGGAAAACTCCAAAGAAAGGGGAAACTCTCAAACAGAATGTCACCTGCCACAACTGCGGCAAGATGGGACACTATGCTCGTGACTGCTAGAAGCGGGTCTCGTTCATTGAGGAAACAGGTGGTGGTGGCGGCGCTTCGTCATCATCAACTGGACGCACAGGACCAGCACCTTCAGCACCGACTACGGCATCAGTGAAGATGTTTCGAATGGCACGCGCAACCTGGAGATCTTGAACCTCACAGGTTCAAAATCAGAGGACAATGAATATCCTTGGCGTGTTGGAACGATCAGGGCTACATGGATGAGGACGAGTTCATGGACTGCATCGAGCCCGTGGTGGGCATCCCAGAGGGCATCATGTTGAAAGGACGAGACATCTCAGCTCCCATCAGCAATGAACGAAATTCTTTGCAGTTCAGTGCAAGAATCTCTATGGCGGAGATGACAATGAAGAAAGAAGGAGAAACAAAGGATGACACTGCAAGGTTGCTAGCTCTTCGTGGCAGCTTCAGCAGTACGTGAAAGATCTGGAGACAGCGCCTGTTTGGCGCCAACTGCCAAATGGGATGGTGGCACTGATTGTGGCCTACAGTGATCCAGTGGCCACGAACTTGACTGACCCTCGAGGACAGATTGAGGAGACTTGGAAGGCCCGTATGCCACTAGTCAAGGACAATGATGGGCTATGGACACAGATTGAGAATGTCAAGGACTTCACGGAGTTAGGTCCAGCTGCATTCAGGAAGGTTGGCGTGGGAGGACCTCAACATACAATCACCTTCTTTGCGCCCTCTATGATGGAGGATTGCTGTGAACAAGAGAAGATGCGAGAACCTCAGGGAAGGACTGACTTTTCTGAAGATGACAAGGAGGAAGAAGAGGACCTGGAGATGAAGATGGACTCCCGTGAGATCGAGAAGATGGTTGAGCTGGATGAGACCACCTACACCAACAAGATGTCAGTCAAGGAGCTGCAGGTGGCCTGCAAGGAGCGACAATTGCCATACAGTGGGAGCAAGAGGCGGTTGTTGGACAGATTCATCGCCTTCAAGATCAACTTGGAGAACAGCATGAAGTTGGACATCGCCAGCGAGCTGTATCAAAAACAGCCGAGGAAGCCATTGGCACTTGGGCAGCCAAAGCTGCCATCTTTGAAGGAGCAAGAGAGGCATTTCGCGATGCTCCTTGTGTTGCTACGAAGGCAAAGGAGGATAAGCATGAGGAGAAGCCAGATCTGGGAAAGAATGTGATTCAGATGGACTTCTTCTACACCTACACTACACAGGAGAAGAGAAGCGCATGCACGAAGCCCCTGAGGGCAGATCAGTGTGGGACCTGTCTGGTCATGGTGTCTTTAGAGACGCAGGCAATACACGTGGTTCCTGTCCCCTTGAAAGGCATTGCAGTACTGCGCTTTTCACTTGAGAACTCTTCCATGGATGAGTGCGTCTTCCAGGGCGACTAGAGGGCAATGAGGCAGATTCTGGCGTCTGTGCAACAGGTGAGAGCAGTGGTGGGTCCATGTGAAGTGAGGCTTACGGGCAGCAATCAACACTGAACGGGCAGTTCAAAGTGTTCGACGCCTGGCGAACTGACTCCGCAACTTTGAAGAAGGAGATGACGGCGATCACAGTCGTCACACCTGCACCTGGATTGAGGGCACAGCCAACAACGCAGGTATGCCATGAACAGCTGCGGCGCCGCAGACACCCGCGCCTATGCCTAGACGACTCTACGACAGAAGAGGATGATAGCCCAGAGAGGAAGGTGGGTACCTCAGACTCGCCAAGGAAAGGGCAAGAGGAGAGAAGACAGAGACTCATGAAGAAGGGACGGAGAAGAAGCAACGAGTTGAGGAAGAGGAAACTGAAGAAGGAGCCACAAGCTTGCCATGTGGAACAACAAGACCCAGGGAAAAGGAAGCAGAACATGTGGTGAGTGCATCACCCAGCAAGCTGGCAAGGCTCTATCCCCCGCACTATGCTGGCATTCAGGCCATCGAGGCTCATGGACATGAGGAGATTGGAGCAGAGTTGATTCCAGAAGAGGTTAACGAGGAGCTCTTTGCTGGGTCATGGGAATGAAGACGCGGAGCCACCAATCACCACATAGGAACAACAGATGGATGAGCAGGCCAAGAAGAACGAAGTGGAGAGAATGCTGAGCATGCCCGCAATGGCGAAGTCAAGCCGAGAAGAAGTGGAACAAAGTGGCGGATACACGATCCACCAAGTTTGTCCTGACCTGGAAGCACAGGTAGGGTGGATGGATTAGGCGAGCAAGACTTGTTGCATGCCAGTTCAAGAGCAGCATAGATCTTGACCAAAAAGTTGCTCCTACCTCAAGCATGGTACTCTCCAAGATGTTGGCCCACTTGATGCTGAATGTCTTCAAGGTTTTCAAGCACTTTGTGGCCACGACCCTGGATGTGAAGGACGCATTCCTGATGGCAGAGCAGCCAGCAGCAGAGAAAGCATTTGTCGAGCTGGATGGACAGATCTACAAGCATATCAAATGTCTGCCAGGACAATGCGCAGCAGCGTCACAATGTTTCCAGCTGGTCGCTGGAACAGCAACGCAGTACGGGTTGGAGCAAGATCCAATGCAGCCCACCTTGCTGACGATGAAGAAGAAGGAGATCTACATCACGGTGCACGTGGATGATGTCTTCACGGTGGGAAACGAGACTGCATTGAGGAGTTTTGTAGCACTTGAAGCAGCAGAAGGGAAGGGATGGAACATCGAGGAGAAAGGACCATTCAACGTCAATGAGAAGTTTCCATTTCCTCAAGAGAGAGTTTTGGCCAGGAAGAGAAGGATGTGACATCAGGCGCGACTACAAGGAGCATGGTCTACAAGAAGGCTTACCGCAAGACGCCGATGGATCAGGGTTTTCAAAGAAGGATCAACGCACACTGCTGGAAGGGGAGGACATCACAAAGTATCGCAGTGTGGTTGGAAGACTCATGTATCTGGCAGGAGAGAGGCCAGACGCCCAGTTCAGTATCCAAATCCTGGCCAGAGGAATGGCAAAACCAACCCACTCAGCAAGCGTGGGTAAGAATGTGGCATGTGTGCCCGTACTTGCAAGGCACCGTGGGCATTGAAGAAAAAGGGCCAATCTGCCATGGACGTCAGAGAGGAGTTCGAGGTGGAGGACAGAGAGAAGCACTTGGTCGAGGTGGTGAGTGGTGACTGATGCTGAGTGCGCAGGAAACGCGAATGATAGAAGAAGTACCACCTCATTCCAGATTTTCCTCGATGGGAACCTGATGGAGTCAAGACAGAAAGCAATAGACCTATCTTCATGTTCTGTGCGTACGAAACGTGTGTCTCGGCCCCCGGTGATGCAGGGGCAGGCCACGCGAAAACGCGAAAACCGCGAAAACGCGAAAACGGCGAAAACGGCAAAAAACGCGAAAACGGCGAAAACGCGAAAACGAAAGTAAGAGCCTGTTGGAGTGGAGTCAGAAAAGCATGCCCGAGATTGATCTGGGATTGGAGGTTGTTGTCTTGATGTTGATGATTCGGGAATGGTGGTTGTCACAACGACTATTATAAAACTAGTGCTTGGACTTATAGGGTATATATATATAAATGATACCCCCCCCAAAGATCTACCATTTTTATTTGTTTCACGGGTGTGGATGCTCATCCATCAATTTATTGAAAGGGGAGTACCATGTAAATATATATATATACACATGTCTTATTGTATGCTAACTGTTGAGATGCTCCCTGCACATCATTGGTTGCAGGGAAGTACGCGTACTGTACGCGTACAATGGTCAATGTTTACTGTACGCTAACTGTTGTGATGCTCACTGCACATCATTGGTTGCAGGGGAGTACGCGTACTGTACGCATACAATGGTCAAACCAAGAAACCAAGAACCAAGATTGCACAGACCTATGAAAATGAATCTTGGTTCTTGGTTTCTTGGTTGGACTATTGTGCCTACAGCACGCTTACAAATGAATCTTGGTTTGGGGTGTGTCCTTTTTTGAGACCCAGGTCATCCAACTTGTGTAATGTGCATTGGCTGCATCAAGCCAAGATTCCTGACAAGAGTTGTGCTCAATCTTGTTTTGTTTTGTTGTTTTGAGCAATGTACGCGTACAAAGCGTTTGTACGCGTACTTTCCTGAAACCAACATGCAGTCAGCATCTCAAGGGTCATCATGCAATAAGACATGACACAAATATATCAAAGTATGACACGACTATAGTCCCATCAGGTTATTTTGATAAAAACATTGTAGGACTATAGTCCCATCAGTTTATTTTTTGAGTAAAACACTGATACAACAAAACTGATAGAGATTGACAGGACTACAGCCCTTACATGGGCATTTACACAGACTAAATTCATACCGGTTTTTATGAGTTTGATAGTTGGAACATTACAGGGATGACATTGACATTAGCAAAATATCTAGTTTTACATTGTATACGGAAGTGAAGGCATCACATGTTTTTCAATAAGAAGTATAACTTAATATATGGAAAGTGTTTGAGAAAACTATTGGAAGCAAACAACGAAAAATATTTTGTTACAAAACTCCTTCATTCAGTCATTCATTCATTCATTCATTCATTCATTAGGTCAATTATGACCAGATTGTTAATGAACTATGGGAAACCGATCTTGCTAAAGATGACAAAAAGAAAATAGGGAACATCACAACACCGCACAGAAGTTACAGTTTCACACTTTGAGGGAGGCTTGCCATTACCAGAGGGAGTTTGGAGGAAGGGTTTGTGCCATACAACAAGAAATAGAAAAAAGAAGAAGAAACAAACACACAGTACCTATTGCATCTTAAACACAACCAATCGAAATGAATTTTGCAATGGGCCTAGAGATATAAAAGAGCTGCTTCTTCAATATCATAACTTTTCAATGAATGCAGCGTAATCATTTTTCAGAAAATGATATTAAGACCTATTCAGTGGAGAGTGATGCCTTCAGGATCCATGCAGACGGTTTGACTAGAGTGATGGGTGAACCCAATCATGTTATAAAATCATGTCAGACTGGAGTATTGAACTTTGAAGAAGGCATAGGCAAGTGGAGACTGACAAACAAATCAACCAATTTCCAGCCAATAAGTACATATTTTGATATAATGACTTAATTGAAATTCCAAAACTAGAAAATGAACCAACAGAGGTGGTGGATGAATGGGACAACCCCGGAATATGTAAGCAAGTTGAAAAACAAAGCCCCTGCATGATCAGATCAAAATTTTCTGGATCGAGTTACACAGGTCAGTAGCTTTAAAAGGTGCATAAACAAATTTTGTTTGTAGAGCCTTATATCTGGTTCAGTCAAAAAATATAGGGTGACGCAACAACCCATAACATTTTTAAGAATTCCAGTTCATAAGCAGGATGAACTACCAGAGTTTGATCATAGCAATTTTCATGTCATTTTCCTTGATGAAATCTGTATGACCAATCTTTTATTTTTAAACTTTACTGAAAAGCACAAGGACAATAAAATCATCATAGGCGCCGGTGATACAAAACAGTTAGAACCCATCAATGATTTAACTAACACCCAGTCAAAGACCACAATATGGTCAAAATTGTGCTCAGTTTGTTCTCCGAAATCAGTGAAATTGTCCAAAAGGTTCATTGATATCTGAAAATATCACCTAAACAGGCATGCAACAGGCAAACAAGGTAGATTTTGGGGGGGGTAGCTACATATAATATATATATATACAAAAGACATCCAAGGTTGGACACTATATAGGCGCCTCCTGCCACATCCTGTTGTTGGGCCTCTTTTGAGTTGAAAACCTTCGAAAGTGGCGAAGACCACGAAAACGACGACTGCGCGAAAACCACGAAAACGGCGAAAACAACAAAAACGTGCAAACGGCGAAAACAGCGAAAACGCGAAAACGACGAAAGTGGCGAAAACGGCGAAAACGACGAAAACGGGAAAACGGCGAAAACGACGAAAACGGGAAAACGGCGAAAACGACGAAAACGGCGAAAACGACGAAAACGGCGAAAACGACGAAAGCGGCGAAAACGGCGAAAACGGCGAAAACGGGAAAACGGCGAAAACCGTTTTCTTGCTTTTCTCGTTTTCACGCTCAAAGACAAGACAAGCAAGAAGACGTAAGAAAACTGGAAAAAACTTCCACACGGCAAAACGCGAGAACGGTTTTCTCGGTTTTCTCGGTTTTCTGGTTTTCTCGGTTTTGCCGTCGCATCGCGCGGGCCACGACGCAGGTTTTGTGTTCTTAGTCTTCATGAGAAGCAGAGTTTGTGGCCATAGTTGCACGATCCTCGGATGGACTTCTTATCTGGCATTTGTGGATGACTACGACAGGAGAGCCATGTAACACGAAGGTTCGCTAAGATAGCTCAACTTCAAGAGCGATGGTGCAAAGACAGGGAATTGGACGTGTCCGACACCTTGACGCTGCGCTGCTAAGGAGAAGATCTTCCGTGTGGGAGCAATTAGTACAGAGTTGAACTGTGCTGACATTGGCGCGAAGAGTCTCAGCAGGAGAAGGCTGTTGGTCTACTCTACATGCTGTAGATGATCAACAGCATCGGAGATCACGTTGGAGAAGAGGAGTTCCTTGAGTTGGAGCACAAGGAACGCGTGCGAAAGGGAACCAAGAAGATCCTGAAAGGAAAGGACCTACATGTGGGATTGCGCTGGTTTTGGCCAATTTGCATGACGCTGCAGGAGCAAGCCTAGAGGGACAAGATCAAGGCAGTGAGTGGCATTCGGATATTTTCACCCCCTGCGCAATCTTTGGGGCCTTGAGCATCTTTGGATGGTTGCGGCACTACATCATTGAAGGCTTCTTGGTCACTGGCTGGCACTATTGAAAGAGGTGACGAAGGCTGCTCAGGAAGGAGAGCCTGATGGAAAGGCTTGAGAGGGACAGTGTGGGCACTCAAGCCGATTGTTGGCTGGATTTGGCGGCCTTGGAATGCTACGAAAGACGCGGTGACATGCAAAATGAGATCAGCAAGAATGAGCTCTACATCGAGGAACTCCAGAACGAGATCAAGGACGTTCGTGCACAGAGGGGTCAGTTCCTTCAAGAACTCAGGATTTCGGAAGCATATGGACGCCGGCTGCTGCAGCAGACCACTCAGTGCAGAGTTGATCCACTTCCACGAAGCCTGCCCCCATTTTGCAAGGGCACGGCATTACCCCATGTGTGCTAGGTGCTTGAGCGGTGGGGCGGTTTTTGAACATAGTGAGACGACAGCGGATGACTGGGACACCCACTCGAGCACCAAGGGCACAAATCGAGAAGTGTACCTTTTCCTAACATTCAGGCACAAGCCGAGCAAGGCATCGCGCTTCGCACAAAAGCAAATTGAGATCTGCGCAGGGAATTATTCAGCAACCGGTATCAACCCAACTAAAAACGATGGCCGGCTCAAACCACTTGTTGTACAAAATAGCCTGTTGCTTCGGCTAAGTGTGTTGTTGGTTTAAGCGGGCTATGGCACACGAAGCCATCAACGCTTTTGCAGCATCCCCATCTCTACATCGGAAGAAAAGCTTCATACGCCGCCCATTAGAATCAATGAAAGGCATCACCCTGTTTCTCAATCTTTGTTACGTCTTTTTCTCCGCGCACATACACTGTGCATATCTGTGGAAAAAATGTCATTTCGCCAAGGTTTTGCAGCTCCCTACTCTCAGTCACAACACCATAGGAGACCTCCCTGCTAGTAGCAGCACCATAGTGTCTCTCAACTACCATCGCATATGCTTGTAGTCTGACAGAGTGCGTCATGGTGTCACGTCGTTCGTTTTTGATTGAAGTGGTAGCATTTTGCGAGACATGTAAGTTCAAAAAAAAAGGACACCCTGTTTGCTCTTTCTATGCGTGCATGGAGACATGTGAGGAGCAGTGCCCAAAGGAAGCACTTTCCCCGTGCCTGCAGCACTATTGCAGGAGGCCTGATGTGAACTTTGTCGGATATGCGGATGAGCTGAGGGGTGTAGCCGCCTGCAACAGCCACCAGTTCAAGTCCAACAAGTCCTGCTCCAACTGCGAAGCCAATCCATTTGGTTGCCTCAGGTGTCCAGATTTGAAGCTGACGCGAGCTTTCACAAGACAATGGGACACACACACACAATCCCAAATTCTTGGGGGTGCAGAGTTTGGTCTGGGCCCAGGCAGTTGGAGGGTTCGTATCAAGTTTCTTGGCACCAAACAACCAAGAAGTTCCAACTTCGCAGAGAAATTGATTTCAAAAGGCTTGGAGTTTTGATATGTGTTGATCTTGCAAAGGACTTGCTTGCCTGAGAGCCCCAAACAAGGGAGTTCATCAAATGCTTATCTTTGCACTCAATGCTCAACTTGAATAGTGGGGGAAGGCCTATTGAGGGAACTGATGCGTAGATCTCGGCAATAGGAAGCACATCTGATCAATCCAGGTGGCATAGAGGAGACATATTCCGGTCACTACCCAGTCCTTCATCGTATCAGCTGGCTCGCTGAGGAAAGATGCAGTGTAGAGAAGCACGGTTTTGGCAGTAGATACTTCCAAGGCATTTGAGTCCTTGGATGTCGATTCAGTTTTCAACATCATTCAGTATCCCTGACACAAAGAGGCTTACTCTCCTTTAAGGCCTTTGAAGTAAAGTAACATCCACAACATCTACTACAATATTGAAGAACAACGAGCTTCCATCGTCACACATCGAGCCAAATTCTGCACCAACAGAGTCCAAAGGCACAGCTGTTGCCAGAGTGCCCAAAGCTCCCAGGCAAAGTCACCGCCATGATTGGTTGAAATCCAGCCATTCACAACGGCCACGGCCACAATGTCCGCACACACAAGATGGTAGCATACGATGCCCACAGTGAAATACACACTTGGACCTTTGAACGGGTGCCTCCCATCGTCCGTGGCTAGATCCTGGATCTCTGTATCACTTGCAGCCTCCGAATCTACATTCTGCAGCAGTTCGTAGGTGCTGCTCTGTTGTGACTGTGAGTCTGCTCCAGCTGTAATGATAATGCACATTTTGGTGAGACGAAAGAACTGCCGCATCGCTTCGCATGTGCCAGCCATGACAACTGGTGACAACCTGATGTGTCGATAGAACTTCAAAGGAACTATTGCGTATTTAAAAATACGTGACGGTAACGTTTGTCCTCTCCCACAGTGTCCTGCAAAACAGAAGCCAAGCGTGTTTTGTCTTCTCATGTCTTCCCCCAAAAAGTGCACTAAATAGCTGAGCAGCAAAAGGACAGCACCCCAGTAGTGAAGCCTTGCGGAAGACTCCTCTTCATCAATCTCCAAAAGCTTTGGGAGAAATCTGGGAGGAGGTTCCGTCAGGATTGGTGGGAAGTATTCCAGGTGGCAATGGATGTCCAAACCGCATTCCTTCCTCACTGACCAAGTGACGTTAAACCAAATCAATGGAGCTATCAAAACCAAAGGCCATTGCAAGCTTTGTTCCAAGCGGCCGAAAGGGGAAGGACAAAATATTAAAGCAGCAAACCCGGACTCTACCAAAACATGTGATTGCAGGGTTGTGGCAATGCAACTCAGAACATATCAAACAGGCATTGTCACTATTTTAGTTCAAGGCTTCTGCGTACCAAGGGATTGAGGGGTTGTCCCGCGTGCCCGGATACCAAGTTTGCGGATGGGCAGCAAATGGCAGCAATCAAGCATGGTGAGTTGTGGAATGGATCTTTGCTGTTTGCTCAAGTTAGAGTAGCTTAAACTTTGACTTATGCCGTGTCCAAGTGCAAAGCGAGCATCCGCACATTCACCATCCATTTTAGAAGTCCCACCACATTTGGAACCGGAATCAGCATGATGTGCATGGCCAAGAGTGAAACGATGAAACAAATATAGCCATACAATTGCCTGCAAAGCCAAAACTTGAGAGAAGCAACATGGTGCAGCATGCGGCGGTGGCTCCTTTTGTTCAATTTGTTGTCCTATTTACCACAAGCAAAACGTCCTATGATTCGTCATATTGTCTCTTGTGCGGCACTCTCAAGCTGCCTAAGACGAAGTCGGTGAAAAGCCAAGCGACTTGATTCTCCGAACTGGTCAAACGTTCTGACCTCAGAGGCCCATGGGTGATGTGAAAGAACTGAAATACAGAGCAGTGGAAGAAGGATGACTGTGAACAATGAAATGGCTGCACTTCGGCTGCTAGGAATTTGGCCTGAGAAGACTCTAGAGACTCTAGTATATAGATCTGGCTAGCAGTCAAAGGGTGAAGGCCACATGGACAAAAACACATGCAAAGGATTGCAAGGGTATATTCACAAGACTACCTCACCGTGGCGATTGAGCATGTAAGGGATTCCAGGATAGCTGTTCCCCACCATTTTCACAAATACCCGCACAACGAGATGATGATAGAAGGGCGAGTTCACACAAGTCAACCCAAAATGACACAAGCTGCACTTGAACTGATCCCCAAATCTAGCCCATGCTAAATCCAATGAAGGACAATACTGGCTGAACCCAAAGCGCTATCAAACATGTCTCCTGGTGGCAGAGGGGTGAAGGGCTTGCTTGCATTACATATGTTAGAGACGCCCCTATTCTCGCTCCCCATTTTGCGCTCGGTCTCTTGAAACAGCCTCATGCTGGTACTTGACCATGGTGCAAATCACAAGCAGCCCAAGCCCTCAATCGCGGTCAGTGGCTTGGCGAAGATAGAATTCAATTTCTGCTGGAGCAAAGCCAGCCCTTAGGCAATCGTCTTTAGAAAAGCCTGCAGCGAGACACTCCCCGGCCGAGAAGCCAACATCCTTGCATTGAACGGCACTAAAGCCAGAAGACTTCCACTCTTGAGCGAAAAAGCCCGCCGCCTTGACCTCCGTTTTCAAAAAGCCTGCTCCTATACAATCACTGACCGAGAAGCCAGCGGCCTTGCACTCTCCTGCAGAGAAGCCGCCAACCTCCATGCACTGTCGGGCAGTAAAGCCTGCGTATTTGCAATTGACTGTCATGTGTCCAAGGTTAAAAAGCTCTCTGGCAGAAACGCCCTTGTGTAAATAGCTGGCGATGAGTTTGCATCTGATTTCCTCACCGTTGTCTGTTCCCAGGATACCCAGTAGCCATTCTCTCCGTAAGTCTTTGATTGGATTGAACAGGTCCGATTCACCGACATTGAGCTGATTCAGTAAGTCGCTGGATGGCTTATCCAGAAAGCCTGCTAGAACATCTTTCAGATCTGTAGCACTGATCACCGAAGCCGTCGACAGCTGCTTGATCACGGCTTGCTGATCCTTTTCAGACTCTAGTAGGGTATTCAGCCCTGTCTCGACTGCAGTCCATTTCTGGTGAAGGAGAAGCTTTTGAAAGGAAGGGATGATCAGCCCTTTTACAATGCTCACAATGGCAGAACACCCCGCAAATCCCACGCCTGCTCCCCTACTGTATCGTAGTACCAGCAAAGTGGCAAAGAACCCTTGTGGCCAGTCTTCTGCCCAAGCAATGAGAAGCCGCGAACTGCTCAGGAGGCCCACAAAAAGATTGGTGGTCTTCTGAGCCATCCGCTCCCTCCATGTTTGAGGTACAAAGTCCGTCTCCTTCAATGGCAATTCCAGAATAGCCCTGTAGATCTTCCGGAGATCTGCTGCGCAATCTTCATGCAGATTCACTAAAAGGTGGGAGTAAACGATTACATAAACAGAAAAAGCTGCCAAGACACCGCCGTCAGTCAAACATTCGTACAATGCCTCTGAGTATGTGGATGATGATGGCCCAATTACTATCTGAATGCATGAAATGGAAGTAAGCGCGATCATAGATAAACTAAACGTAGTGGACCAAGTGCCGTCGCCGTCCCTTTGGTTGTCGCACAGACAGAAAAGAGTGGCAGCAAAATAAGGCAAAAATAACATATAGTGTATTTGCGTCGCAAGAAGTAGAACATAGAGCACCTGCAAATGCTGAAAACAGGCCCAAACCATCAATGCTTGGAATGAAGAAGCAGTCACTCAAGGTTTGATAAAAAATAGTCAAAACCACATCATGAATATGCAGTTAAAAAGTGTCAGGCACCTGCAACACAATCAAAGGAGGACTGATCCGCAAAGAGTCAGAAATGCGACACCACCGAGGAATCAAACCTGTTTGGATCAAAAGCGCATCAAGCCCAACAACTGATGTACCAATGGCGAAGCCCGTCCAGGTCTCAGCATGGAGGAAGCAAATTCCAGTCACCACCCAATCTTTCATGGTGTCGCAGGGCTCACTTAAGAAAGGCACAGTATAAAGCAAAATCGTTGTGGCAGTAGATGATTCCAAAGCTTCTCCATCCTTAGATATGTGCATCATTGAAAGTCAAGGCTGCTATATCCGGACATAATCAGGTTCCTCTTTGATTCTTCATTGGTAAGCACACACGCACATTGTACATGGACAGGGGAAAAGTAAATCCAAGCTTCCATGATCACACATCGGGTCAAATTCTGCACAAACAATGTCCAAAGGCACAGCTGTTGCCACAATGCCCAAAGCTCCCAGGCAAAGTCGCCACCGTGATCGGTTGAAATCCAGCCATTCAAAACGGCCACGGCTACAATGCCCGCACACACAAGATGGTAGCATACAATGCCCACTGTGAAATACACACTTGGACCTTTGAACGGATGTCCATCTGTGCCTGGAGCCTTCTGTGTCTCTCCGTCGCTGCCCTCCAAGTCACTTGCACTTCCAGCTTGAACCAGCTCGTATTCATATCGTGTCCGTGAGGTTTCTGCAGCGATTCCTGGAGATGTTCCTTTCAGCGTTCTGAAGCAAATGCGTAGAGTTTCACATATGGAAGTCATCACAATTGGTGACAGCCTCACTCATCCAAATTGAACTACAAAAAACAAATTATGTATATATATATATATACCTAGAACCTGATTGACCCCTGTTTTGGAGCCAAAACGTGGTCTTTTCCTGTCAAAACAGAGGTCAAATGGGTTCTAGGTAGGAGGTCATCTCCTTGCTTGGAACTTCCCCGCTCAGGAGCTCGCTCAGGGCCAGGCTCACAAAGTAAGCTCTGTCCACACAGTCATCGCAGGACATGGCTTCGCTGGACAGGGTGCTTCTGCAGACCCGTGTGGATCTGTTGCTGCGCCAGTCGATGACATTGCACCGGGCGTTGACTTCGGTGCAGTGGGTGAGCAAGACCAAACATCCCTGCTGTGAGGAGCATTGTTGTGCATTGGCCCATGAGGCGTCTGCGTAGCCCTTTGTGGTGTCCCGGCAGTACTCCAAGGTCTCGTAGAGCATTGCCAAGTCGGCCGGGCTTGTGTCACTGCCCTTGTTGGCCAAGGACACCCATGCGCCAATGTCTGGGCGCGTCTGGCTCGAGAGCCATTGGAGCGATCCGGTGACTGACCGGAATTCGGCCTGCTGTCCACCCTGGCTGATCCTTCCTTTCTGCAGCTTGCCTGCGTCGGTGTTGTCGATGAACTTGGTCTGAGTGACCAGGAGGTGGTCAGTGAGCTCCAGTTCCTTCCCCTTGAACTTGAGAGGTTCTTGGAGGCTGAGTTGCTTTTGGCTGGCCCATGAGAAGAGCTGAAGCAGTTCCTCCTTGTTGTAGTCACTGCGGCAGGTCAGGAGGAAGTCGTCTACATAGACGATGCAAACTGCCATCAGCTTGTTGTGCTGCCTTTTGTAGAAGAGCATCCGGTCGAGGTGGTGCTGGACGAAATGGATGGAGGTCATCCTGCGCACCACTTCTTTGAACCAGGTGCGGGGCGCCGAAGCGAGCCCGTATGTGTTCTTGAGCACCTTGTGCAATCTGGCTTTGAACGTGCCAGCTTTGATGGTGATCTCGTCCCGTGGTGGCAACAGGTATAGGGCTTCGGGCCTTTCGTGTTCTTCGAAGGTCCCCTGCATGAAAGCCGTGGAAACGTCTCCGGCCCACAAAATCCAGTCCACCTGCTCGTGCTCCATGAGCTTGTTGGCACCTGCAGTGTAGATGCAGAGTAGGAGGTACTCTGAGGTGCGCATTGGAGTGGAGCTGTCCCTGGAGATCCGGTGAAGATCTGGGTCCAGGTGGCCGAGTGCCACGACTCTTGCCTTTGCAGTGAGCACTCCAGGAATCCTGCTTTTGTTTCGATAGCAGGCTCTGCTTCTAAGCACTCGCTTGCGGCGGATGGGATGCGACACAATTGCCGCTGCTTCATCATCATCCACAGGTTCAACTGAACCCCAACTCATCCATCCCCGCTCCTCCTTCTTGGCCAATTCGATGAAGGCCTGAATATCCTCTGGGCTCATCTTGAGAATTTGGCGCCATGGAATTTCACGTTCCAGGGCCTTGGCTTCTTTGCGGCTGTTGAGCCTTGATGCAGGATCGATTGGCTGGTCAGGATCTGAGGATTCTGCATCTGACTCGCCGGCGGCTTGGAGGTCGGTGAGGAAGACAGAGTGTCCCTCTTGTTCATAGGCCCAACATAGGCCCAACCTAGGCCAACATAGGCCTAACATAGGCTCAACTTGGGCCCAAGATGTGCCCAACATAGACCACATGGGCGCAACTTGGCCCAACCTAGGGCCAATAGCTTAACTTTGCTCAATATAGGCCCCACCAAGTCTCAAAGAAAGAGAGAGCGAGAGAGAGAGAGAGAGATGTCAAGAGACAAGTTCATTTACAATAGCCTATTTACTCTCTCGTACTGTTCATGTACAATTGCACGGTGCTATACACTGCACCTTGGATCGAGGCCTTGAGCCTAAGGACAATTGCCAGAGGAAAACAATACAGAGACGTGCGCAAACAAACGACAAACAGCTGCTGAATTTTACATGGTAGCGGAGCAAGGATCCTGGTAACAACAATCCAGGTGAGCTCCAA